GAGGTCTGCTCAGTTTGGTCCTGAGGCCACCTTGCTGGAAAGTAGCTGTTGCTCTTGGTACTCAGCAACCAGGGATTTTCAGGGGCAAAACTTAACGGCAGTGTATCAAAGATGACAGGCCTGCACTGCAGAACAAAACTGAAAAGGAGATTGCTCTCGAATGCTGTTTGTTTGCCACCGTTACTTTGCTTGAAGAGCTTCTTGGCATGGGAAGCGACGTTGCGTCTTGGCCACGCCGGGTCCATTGCTGGCCCTGGAGAAGATGTTGAAGAGGGAGTAAGAGCTCCTTGAAAGGCAGGAAAATCTCAGAGATGCTTGACTCGGGGTTACAGAACTGGTAATCAGATCTTATTAGAAGAGAAAATTGCCGTTTCAAAATATTAGTTGTAAATCTTGGCAGAAAACAGAATTTTATTTTTTTTTTTTCCCCTCTGAGGGTCAGGGTGACATTGAAAGAAGAATTGTTCAGAGATGCCCATGTATGGCTCCGGATGCTGTGGCCTTAGAGGGTTTCCATTAGGGGTTACACGTGAGGGTAGCAGGCTGCCTTCTCTCCTGCCTTCCCTTGACCCTAAAGTTTTCAGAATAAGCTTTTTTATGCAAGTGGATGACAGCATCCCTATCTCTGTATACTTCAAATACCTGTCAAGGAATACGGACCGGTTTTCATTGCGTGTTTTTCAGGCGATACTCTCCAGACCCGGTCCTTTTCATTGCCGTTGCAGGACCTGTTCAGCTGCAGGGGCGTTCGTTCGCCTGTGATGCAAGCCACGTCGTCCGCTCACACGTGTACGCACGTTTCTTAGGCAGCCTGCTCTAAAATTGTTATCGTTCTTTTGCCCGTGAAAAGATGTCACGAAATTAACTCCGTAGAAAGCAAATTGCCTTTTCTTGCCAGCACAATTAGCGTGGATTGTCCATTCTTCTCAAAAGTTCAAGTGTGACGACTGCAGCTTTTTTGAAACGGTCTCTCAAGATTTCAAGACCAGATGCACCGAGCTCCAGCGACTTCTTCCAGCGCTGCGCTGTCTCTTCCTTTCTCCCTCCTTGAGCCGAGTCTGCAGAGAGATTAAAGGGCGATTTCATTTCCTTCCCTTCTTTGTCCTCCCCTGAAAGGTTCCTCTATATGATCACGACAAAAAGTCTCCTCGGTTCTTGTAGTCTTCCCGAAAAGAGGGCTTGTGCCATTTCTTTGGAAGGGATGCTGTCTCCATGATGGATGGAGAGAGCCGAGGAGCTGCGCGGTGAAGAGAAGTAACAACAAGGAGACAAAGGTTCGGAGTAGGTGGATTGCTGGGTGCTTAGAGAGCCTGCTTGATGTTTATCTCGACTGTGGCTGGTTATTTAGCCACCACCTTCCTTTTAGATAGCTGAAAGCGATAGGTGAGTTTTGACGTTCAAGTTACGTTCGTTCTGTGGATTGATCATCGCGTCGCTCTTCCCTCGAGCGGGGGACCAGACAGTTTGTGTGTCTGTGGGGGTCGTTTCCTTTGGCTCAATTTATTAAGAGGAGTTTTGTTTAAGTTTATGGGCTCACAGAGTTCAAGTGTGATGAAAATCGCTCTTTCTTGGAAAGCATTTGATCCAGTATCCTGGAGACTGAATGAATCGGCAGTGCCGCTGGTCCTGGTAGAGTACCTGTGGCTCGTGTTTTGTTAGAAATTGAGGAATCGTGCTCACGAGCACGTATGTTTAATCTTTCCCTCTTTTCTCCCTGACGCTTCGCTTTATCCTGGTTGTGCTGCAAGTGGAGAAAGAATTGATTTTAAATGTGACCGCTGCGTATGAGCCAAGGTCCCCGGGCTGTGTCCAGCTGAGAGGAACTTGTTTGAAACGCAATTTACTCATCTGCCTCTGTCTTTGCAGCCTTCAAAGCGAAGACGGCAGCGGTCTAAGGCAGAAGGACAAGCACAGAAGTTAATTGTGTAGGTTCCAGCCAAAGCTGGGAACTCTTCTCTAAGACAAGGACGATGCACGGGGGCTTTTACAATCCGTTCACTTGTAATAGATGAAAATCCATCCCGGGTAATTCTGTCGGGGGTTTTTTCCCTGTTGACTCTACTCATGGCCTGCCCCCGCAAAACATTGCTAATCGGCAGGGGATTTCAAATGGCTTCTCAAGAGTAGCGTTCCTCTGTTTCCCTCGGCTTCTGTGATTCTGCGTTGGGTCCGTAAACTTCATTTCTGCCCCCTCCCCCTCTTTCTTTTTCTGTAACGACATACTGTAATGCTGTAAAAGTGTCTACTTTTAATGCTGCTCAAAATACTTGCATACTGTCAGTAAATATTTACCAGGAAACTTCCTGAAATGTTGACGTGAAGGTGGGTCTGAAGAGTTCTCCTTTCACGTTGCGTTTTTGTTTAATTTAAGAGTTTGTAATTAATGCTGTTCGCGGAAGTAACTTTCTTCTCTGGGTGGTAAGCAGGAGCAGATACGAACACAGATACCCGTAAGCGTTAACTTGCACGGTCTGGCGCTTTCAGTTAAGCGAGCAAATTTAGGTCAGCGGAGCAAGAGGAGCTTTGCAGACAACTGCCGGATTAGACGCCCTTGGATTCGGAATAAATACACAAAGGCGGTGAGGCTGGAGATGCGGCCTGTCCTTAGGTGCACCCTGCCTGTCGTTAACCCAGGCCCTCGGCGAGAATAAATGCCGCCTTGAGAAGGGACTCTGACGCCAGGCTGGACCGAGATGCTGGACTTCTAAAGCCATCAGTCAGCGGGCTTAATGTAGCAGCATCCTGGCATGAAAAGCTTCAGTGACTTGAACTTCAAATAATTTATTTCTAAATTACTTCTACTGTAATTCTTATTAATTCAAATAGGCTTCTAAGCTGATGTAAAATTCAGTAAATGCAAGGAACAGTTTAATGAATTGAAAATAGGATTGAGTCCTTTAAAGTAAATGTAAAAAAATATGCTAGCAATAATTGCTTAGATGGAAATCGAATCTTAATAGCTTTGTTAATGATTTGTAGTGAATATTGCGTTTACGAGAACATATCAAGCTGATCCTTGTGCAAGAACCTTGTTCTGAATGGGTTTGATAAAATTATTCCCCAGAAGCAGTTAATAACGTTTAATATTTTTTTCCTTGCGCCACTTTTGAGGTGTTTGAATGCCACTGGCGCTGGAGCCTAGCAGCAGCTGTTAAGGATCGCTTCCGCACCGCTTTGGCGTGTCTGTGGCTTTTCTTTAGCAAGGCGAACCGCCGACTGCAGTCCCGGTGCTGCGGGGGACGTCGGGCAAGGCTTGACTCGCTGGGTCGGGTATGACCATGCTTTGTAATCTCTTACTGGCTTGTCCTGCCCGCAGTTGTCTTTAATCGGCTTTAAACACCCCGGACCAGGTACGAAGTATTACACCACGCAGACAGCAAGTTTATTTGGATAAATAACGCAGTTGTATCCCCCGCCTTTGATCAGGTGTGTTACCTTACTTGACCAACTTGCCTATTGCAGCAGTTAGAAACGTTGGAGAACGTGGCGTGAGGGGTACCGATAGCGTGGTGGGATGGCTGGATGCTCATCTTCTGAGCTGAGGGCTTTGGGCATGACCGGCTTGCAGAAAGTGGAGCAGGAACCAGGCAGGTGTCCGTACCGGGCTCCTTGCACCTCTTGCAGCGGGCCTGCGGGACTCCTCTCGGTACGAGCATTACTCTGTTCGATAACAACTTTTCACGTTAAGCTTTGAAGTTCATCGGTCTGAAGAAGCAAAGTTTATACCAGGAGGGCTGAAAAACACGCCCAGGCTTCAGCTCGGTGCCATCAGGCGTGGAAAGGCATCTGAGGATTTATCAAGCTCTTTCCTTCCATACGATGCAAACTTTTTGTCAAATACTTGTTTCCACCTCGCTTTCCAACCTTGACGAGATTCTTGGTAGTTACAGAAGAACTGAAACGCAAAGCGCTTTTTGTCGAAATCCCCGTCTTCTGCATTCTTGAGCGGGCAAAGCAAATTTCTCAGCATGCGTGTGATGTAGTGATTCGATTCATTAGGAGGAGCGTTTTCGAGGTGATGACCTGTAAATGATTACAAGGCTCCCACAGCATAATGGCATCGAATTCTTTTTTTTCCTGCCTCTGGACATTAATAGCACCTACTGATTACACAGAGTGAGTAAAAACCAGTTCCCTAAAGTCTATCTGCTCAAGTCAAAGGATAAGTGCTGCTTACAGTGAACTGTTCTTTCAAGGTAATTTAAGAAAATTCATCTGTTGAGAGTGGAGGCGAATTTCTGCCCTTCCCATGCGTGTGGCGTGGAACTTGCTCCCCCGAGGCCGACGCTAGTATTACAGCGTGGAGGGGCGCGTGGCGACCGGCGAGATCCGTCCCTCGTCCTCTGCCTTTGCTGTATTTTAAAGCGTGACCAGAGAGAATGTGCTGGGATGAAATGGCTTCTTTGAGATAGAAAGCACACTCCTTGATGAGGCCGTACCGCGGTCGTCGTACAGTGGTCCTTTTCCCACTCTTCCCATCGCAGAGCTCCCTTCCAGTTATTCCTCTCGAATTTCAAGGTGACCGGTACAGTCGAGGTGGGGAAAGATCCATATTTGTATTCCCCGGCGCTGCCGTTCCGAGTGTTTGTCGTGCGGGTAATTGTATCTGTTCAGTGAAATGAATACCAGCCCCAGCACAACCCACATGCGGCCGTGCGAGGAGGTATCTCTGCTTTGGTGCTGGGGGCAGGTAAAAGGGTGAGGGTCCCAGTTCCGTACAACCCCAGCTGGCCGGAGGACCCAGGGTCAATGACTCGCCGGCTGGTGTTCCTCCGTTGCCTGCCCGAGCTTTCCCCCGCAGAAAATCCACACATTCTTCCTCGGTCAGACCGGTCAGTTAAACGTCCAAGGTCGTTTCGGCAGAGCGGCCCGTGGGTTGTGCCGCTGGGCACGTTTTGCAAGAGTGCCGGCGTGCGGCGGTGGTGGAGCTTTTCCTTTCCAAGCGAAACTTGGCGACGTCACTTCTGACTTCGCTGCTTCGTCTTTGCGCTCTCTTTCAGGCGACGGTCAGAATTTGGTTACCGAAGACGTGACAGTGGTGGAGGGAGACGTCGCCACTATCAGCTGCCGCGTCAAGAACAGCGACGACTCGGTGATTCAACTCCTGAATCCCAACAGACAAACGATCTATTTCAGAGATTTCAGACGTAAGTAACATCTTTCCTTGTTTGGTAACAACTTTCCCTGCGCCTTCCTTGCGCTCGGGAGAAGACGTTTGCAGAGATCTCTTCTTTTAATGTAACGCTAGACACGTAAAGTTTAGTCAATTCTTTAGAGGGTAGATGTAGATGAGGCAGGCAATCATAATCTTTCTCCTTAATGGAAACCTTGATGGTCCCCTTTAAAAGTCAGATCGTCTTACTTTGCGATAGGAATTGATTGTGGTAATTCAGGGTGAATTGCAATTGAGTGCCAAATATTTAGCTGACACAAACAAATTGGATAGGGCAAGGCCGAGATGGTGCAATGTTCTCAGAGGTAATCTGTTTGGTTCGAGACTGAAAATTTCAAGACAATCTATGCTTCTTTATAACCAAAACAAAACCTCCCGTCACTGCCGTGTCAAGTGTATGAGTCTGGCTTTGTTTCCTGGTGTGACAGTGCCACAGAGCATGGTAGCTACGACGAAACGCCTCAGATTGTCTGCGTTAATGTCACTGCGGGGACGGGACATAGGGGTACATTGTGCCCAGCGTTGTGGAAACGCACAGCAAACCGCGTTCTCTTCCGAGGCGTGGTACCATCTAACGATGTGGACGTGCGGAGGCTGACTCGCTCCGCTTGTGCCGCCCTTCCAGGCCCTTGTGTTCAGCTGGTAAGATTTGAAATGCTTGGTTTCCAAATTCGTGAAAGAATTTGTGTGGCCGTTACCGGTCGGGAAACAACCTAAATGGTTGTACAGTTCGACAATTCTGTGATCTGATAATAAAACCGCGTCCAAAGATTTGATGCTGTGCCCGGCGATTTGCTTATGTTGATTCTTTGCAGTGACCTGAAAAAAGAAATAGTTTATAGGTCCAGACTTAAAGGTAAGAAGCAGGATGGAAGCTGCGGTCAGGAACCCATGGGGTGCTTGTCTAGATGCTGCTGCAATTTTTATAGACGGTTGACTTTGTTGTGTGGCGAGAGGGGTCGCTGCGTCTCTCGTCATGGTCACTAAGGGTGTGCTTGCTCTGCAGCGCTGAAGGACAGCAGGTTCCAGCTGGTGAACTTCTCCAACAGCGAACTCCGAGTGTCCTTGACAAACGTCTCCATTTCTGATGAAGGAAGGTACTTCTGCCAGCTCTACACCGATCCCCCCCAGGAAATTTATACCACGATTACAGTGCTCGGTAAGGATGGAATAGGTGCTTATGGTGAACTTTGTAATCCCGGGACGTACCGGGTCAGTGAGATGGGGCTCCGCACGGCGTGCGGGGAGCTCCAGCCGCCCAGGGAGAGCCGCAGCTCTCCAGCGATAAAGCACAGCGAGGATGTGAACGGTGAATGCTCTCCCACTGGGGACCAGCTCAGCTCTTCGACAGCTGGGAACAGCTTAGGACTTGAACCTACAGAAAGCAGATTTTCAAGGGTTGCCAGCAAGTGCCGAGCAGGTTGTCCGGTGGCGTACCGTAGTCCTTGCGTTGCCTTCCTGTCTTGCAAGGCGTCCCTGCTCACACCCTGAGCCTGTCTTTGTAGGTTGCATCGTATGTGGCATGATCCTCGGGTCTTCCCCTGTTTGTTGGCAGGCAATTTTTGGCTTCAGAGAAAAAGCGGAGGCGTAAATGTGAGGAGGGTGTTCTTGGGCAGGTCACTTGGAAAGGCTGCGAGACGTTCCTGCCCTTTATGGAGTGGGGCTTAATAGCAGCCTGCATTTGTACAGTAGTTTGTACTGTCGCTGCTCTCTAAGGCCATCCGAGTGAATCCTTTGGCTTTTCGGGCAGGTCTGGACCAGCTATCGTCCCAGCAGGAACATCTGTCCGGCCCAAGGCTTGGCAGAGCTGCAGGAGCAGTGCGGGACCGTGCCCTCCTGCCTCTCTATCTGTACCCTTTCGGGCGAGAGAAGGCACGTTTCTTAGGAAGAAGGGAAGATAAGTTGCAGTGGTTCCCTCTCACTCGGTGAAGTGAGAAAGAAGTCAGCCAGAAAGTGAAAGCTGTAGAAAATGTCTTTCAATAATTACCCGATACACAGAGGGAGAATAAATTAACGTGAATGCTTCCTAGCGTGGTAGAACTGTTCAGTTTATGAATTTTGTGTTTTCAGTAATTGGACTACTCTTATCATGTACTGAATCTTTTCTTCCAAAACTTGGGGATTTGAGAGATTACATTTTAATGACGAATGACAGAATCTTTGCCCATCTGTGATATTCCTTCAGGGCAGATATTACTACCAACATCGCTGGTGAGCCTTTTGCCCTGGTGAAGATGCATAAGTTTTTGCATCTTTGTCTGTTGACTTCCAGATTCGGTGAAATCCTGAGCTCAACTAACGGAAAGGGATAGCTTCCTCTTAATTTTAGCGAAAATTTGTTTCGCGTATGAGAGAATGCAGG